GGCGGTACGACTTTTGGCCTGTCTTGATGCCTGCACTGCTTCGTCTGGCCCCTGTCTGTGGGTGGGTGTGGGTGGGTGTGGGCGAGGTGGTGCTGAGGGCCAAAGCCAGCAAATTATGCACTTACACACACACACACACACACACACACTGCCGTGGGACAGAAGGACAGACAACTGCGTCGCTATTTGAGTTATGTGCAAAGGAGCAAGGACATGCCACTCCGGCCAGACCACCCACCCACCCACTCGTACTTCCGCCACCGCAGCACTTGAGCTCTCCCTTTTTTTCTTCCTTTGAGGACCGTCAGTCCTTGTCTGGTCCTGAGTCTGGCCTCGGTCTGACATATTCCTTCTCCATTTGGGCGCGCTGTCGTGTTAATTTAGCGCGAAATATTTGACAAGATGACGCGCTGCCTCTGCAACGCCCTGCTCCTGGAGCAGTCCTCCCCGCCACCATCCTCCCTGCCGCGACGTTGCCGGGACATGCAACGTTGTCTGCGTGTGGAATGATCGAAGCTCGGCCTCCGTGCGGCTCAGAATCTGTCTGTCGCACCGCCTCGCAGCCCCTTCGCCTCCTGTCTGTAGTCTGTATGAGTGCAACAGACACTCATATCGATTTATAAGATGCCACACACTCCTGATGACATTCAAGGGTTGCTTCGCTGTCGTGTCGCGACTTCCATCCGGGACGGGACAGTGATTGAGCTTGGCTCAATGGGGCTTTAAGTGATTCTGCTCTCCAGCTAATTCACAAACAATCAAACCTAAAAGCCGCAAGCGACAGCTTAATTGGGGCTTCTATCTGCAAATCCATTTGGCATCGCTCGAGGCATTCTCTGAACGCCCCGAATGATCACCTCGATAAAATGTACACACGATCGCTAAGACAAGGGATTCCAATTTAATTGTTTTTCCACTTTCGAAGCGAGTATTCCCTGGTCGAAATGTTTCCGAAGTGCAGCCCTATCCCACTGATTCAATTAAAGTCCCCCCCAACAGACAGAGTCATTTATAAAATTTCCACCAGAACGTGTTAAATGGCGTCAATATTAAAAGTTCAAATATGACGCTGACGATGACTGAACTGAGGATGGTGCACGGACAGAGACAGAGAGAGAGAGAGACAAGGACAGGGACTGAGGCAAGGACGAGGTGGCAGACATAGAGGGAAGGCGAATCAACAAACGTTGGAGCTATTATCGTTGTCGCAACATCGCACACACACACACACACACAGATGCAGATGCAGACACACAGCCCCACAGCCACACACATGCCCCAACGCATATGGTCCTTGTTGCTGCGATGCTCCTTCTCCTGCTGCTCATCATCATCTGTCGACGTTAGCAAGTGCTTGGCGCCAACTTCTAATGGCGGCATTATGCGTCCCGCTCCTCACTCGCTCCTCTTACACGGCACCCCTCCTCCTGGGGCAAGATGAAAATGAAACTGTTGCAAAATCCCATAAAACGGCAAAAAAAAGCTTTTGTAAATGACGCCAACAGCTGTCAATGGCTAAGCACAGACAACGTAGCCTCCGCCATCGCCGTCCGCCCAATTTGCCAAGTACCCCACCCACAACAACAGCAACACCCACACCCACACCCGCACCCACCCCTAACATGCCACCCCGTCTAGGTGTGTGTATCCAGTGGGGTGTAGATGGTTAGGGCTGGGCTGTGGGTAAGCTTGGAGAGCTACATATATAGGTTTTGGCTTCTTTTAATAAAGCGACAATGACATTTTATGAATTTTCCACTTTATTCTGGGCCCACGCCCACAATCGCCGCGTCTCCCCTCCCCTCCCCAGCCCTCTTATTTTGCACCCACCCTACGCCCCATAGCCCTGGCTGTTTTCATTATTTGTTTGTTTGCCCTGAACCACAGCCCACAGTCGACGCTGGCGGCAACTTCAAGCCCAACAACCAGGAACCCAGGGACCCAGGGACCCAGGAACCCACGGACCAAAGCTATCAAAAAATCCAAATGAATTGACATTCTCCAAATATGTATGTGTATTGGTGTATCTGTGTGTGGTGTATCTATGGCTTTGTGTGCGGTGCACAAAGGCGTTCCTCCGTTTGCCTCCTGATATCGAATTTCATTTATAATTAGCAAAGTTAACGGTCGCCTCTCCCTGCTATCCCTGTCCCAAGCTCATGTGGCCAGTGTGGCACGGTCAAGCCCGGCGGGGTCTTCGCGACTGCCACTGGCATTCAATCGTGATTGGCGGTCCTTTGATCCACAGATCTCAACTCTTTGAAGATTCGACTGATCTGGGGACTGATGTGATCTGCTTCTGAGCATTTCAGTAACTGACTCTATGATGATTTAATTTTGTGGTGCCGCACGCAAAGTGTGGATGACTCACGGATACACAACGGAGCAGTTTACAATTCGAAAGACCTTCACACTAAATCGCCTCTCGCGAAGAAAACGGCGAATGCGGATGCTACAATATGTAAATTGTACGTACTCGTACGATATGTATTTTTTTGACCCAGATATTCAGACTCGTAGTCCTAGCTCGTGCAGAGCAGACCGCACGCAAATATGTATCCTCCGAATGAATGGAGCCCTAATGAGCCGCAATCGATCAACTTCGACGCTGTGTGGCACACCCCACCATAATGTGCTACTGCATGTGTCTGCGACTATGTGGCGTCGCCCGGGGATTAATTTGCAGTGGCTGCCTCAGAGATAATAAGTGCATTGGATCATCAAATCAATAAAACGCGCACATTGCCCGCGGCTGGGACACACAAACGAAACGCATACACACGGTGTATACTGTGGATGTGGATGTGGGGATACTGGCCATGTGTGGATTGTGCGGGCATCCGCATCCCCCTTATGCTGCTGGTGCCAAGAATGCGCTGCATCAATGGCTGCCGTTCGAAAACATTGTTAATTTATGCAAATTTAGCCAACGCCGCTCACTTTGTGCAACGCCAATGAGGCACGAGAGCCGCGACTCACTGGAAGCCATCGTCACTGCAGCAGTCACAGTCATACTCATTGCAAGTGCCATCGCCATCGCCATCACCATCGCCATCGCCATCGCCGTGACCATGGCCAAAGCCGCGACCGCAGCGCAAACAACATTAACGGAGGTGCAAGTTCCAAGCAGTAAGCTGCATAGGATTCCACTGCGGCAGGGCCAGAGAGGCTGGCAAGAGGATTGGGCTGGCCTGGGTTGGGTTGGGTTGGGATGGGGTGTTGTGTTGTGGAGAGCACACCGTGAGCTCTTGCATAATTTGACTCGTCTTACTTCATTTGCATGCCAAGGGGCTTCGGGGCGATGTCCCCCAAAAGCCTATTGGGGTCCTGTATTGCTTGCCAGCCACTGGGTGCCGTGCAAATTAGCACGTGGATTGCCATGCAGTACGACCCGACCCCGAACCCACTGACCTATCCATCGGGGCCACTCATTCATGGACAGTCCAACAGTCATAATACACATATATCAAAAGAGTTTTTACCCGCTCATTGTGGGCACCCACTCTTCTTCGCAATTCGTGGTACAAATATATGGCTAACTGTATTTATTGTATTGTCTAGACACATGAAACCGCAATGTGACTGCGCCTGTATTGCATTTTTCATTTTCCATTTTTCATTTTCCGCTTTTCATTTTGCATTTACCATTTTTTGTTGTACGGCTTAACCGCATTAACAGCGAAAACAGTAAAGCAAATTCCACTTAATTGTTCAATATTCATGGAATTTGCGGGACAAGTTCAAAGGGCATATCCAATGGGCAATGGGCACTTTGGTGTCAAAGGGATGAAAGGAAACCCTCCATGGGATCTTTAACAGATGCTAATGGAAGTTTTGGCCTACAGGAAAATGGAATCTTGGATGCAGCATTGAATACTTTGGCATCGGGGGAACGGACGTATATATAATTAAAAGACTGTGCTGCAACCCACTGGAATAGTGTATACAAAAGTGCAAAGAATCTTTCGGTAATTCTGTATAATGTAGTCCATGGGAGATGCTAATTTAAGCAAGCATTAATTATACAATTGTAAACTAGTTCGGACTTAATCGTGTGCTCTGGTGTCTTTTTGTCCACCATTACAATAGCGTTCATGCGAGCGCTCGTGCGTTGCGGCGTATCTGGACGGAGCTTATCAAAATACTCGCAAAAAGGGGGCCAGAGACTTGTTGCGTCATGGAGCGGGCTCTGACGATAGAACTGCATTCAGATATGACCCCACCCCATCATATCCATATCACCAAATAACCATATCCCCTGAAGAACGGGATGGGATGGGATGTGATGTGATGTAGGCAAATCAAATCCAGACAAGCGAATATGTTCGGTACTCTGTGTTTTTGTGTATTTACTCGTATCTTCGGTTTGAGGCAAATAAAGCAAAGACGCTAGTCAACGGAAATGCGCAGCCCGTTTTATCAACATTTACCTTGACGTTAGCTGGCCAAGATTAAGCTTAAGATTATAATTACGTATTTGGGAGTCAAAACAGATTCCCGAGAACTATCGTTCAACTCTTCTGAACTGATAAGGCGAGTGATTCATGGACCCAGCCGGAAAGTGCGTGATCACAAGACCCCATCAAGACGGGGGGTCGGTCACATCAACTTCACCATGGATAATATGAACCCTGACACTTCATTTGAGCAGCTCGAATTGCCATCCCTAGATCGCAGATAGATAATACCCGTTGCGGAATAAAAAGCACAAACGGAAACATGGAAACCGATACAGATACAGACGTGGAAACTACCGGTCGTGGCTCCTCTCGTGGCTTTCTCTCTATGTTTTTCCCGTCTCTCATGATAAGTGCGGCTAGTCGGAATGAATATCTTACTCCGCAATATCATAAATTGGTTTAGCCACGCTTATCAGGGGCAAACAAGCGATTATCGTGTATTTGGCTAGCGTCACAAAAGATTTCGCGGAACGGAACGAAGATACGCCGGAGATTTTGCATAAAAGCGGGACAGATAGGCGTGCAGAGGATAGTAACGATCTTTCATTCGAACCCAACGCATGACAACGACGACGATGACAACGAACCGATCGACCAAACTTCTGGTCTTGCTTATGGTAATTGCATAATCCCAAAGTCGCGACCGGCAATACATCATATCCGCAGAATCCGCAGAATCCGCATAGTGTCCAAGTGCCAAGATGGAATTATTGTATTATTTGATATTTTTTTTTTGTTGCTTGCTGTTTACTGTCTTCACTGACGAGTTGTACAAATTTCTATTGGAACTTCGGTGTGGCACTTGGATATGCCTCGATATACGCCACGAAAAACCCAAACACCAAACACCAAACTCCAACCCCGCTAAATCGAATCGAACCCCAAACGAACCCGAACTAACCTTAGCTCCCGGGATTCTTGATACTTTGGATAACATTCAAATCAATCGGCGACAACTCAAAAGTATCCTATGCAAGTGAAACAAACCCAATGTGTAATTGTTGCGCTCCCGAGCCTCCGCCATGACTTGCGACGAACAGTGCACCGCCTTCCGCAGAGATCGCAGCCCGCCTAACCTCCCGCCTTTCTTCTGCATCTCTCTTCCAGCTCACGGCCCTAGTGGCCAACCACCAGGCAAGAGCAGCCGCCGCCGTCCTCAAGTGCGGCGGTAAGTCAGCCGTCTGCGTGGGACCGCTCACCTACCAGATCTGCGTGGACGATCTGACGACGGGCGCCGTGATTCCCTGCCAGACGAGCACCCGTTGCGTCACCGATGGCATCGAGATCTGCGAGCCCATCAAATTAGATGCGGAGGCGCCCACGGCGGCTGTGGCCAAGATGGTGACAATTACCGACAGCCCAGCTGCCGTCAGCCAATCTGCCCCCCTTGTCGATGGCACAGCCACTTCCAACGCAAACATTGAAGCGATCTCCACTGAGGGTCTAGGATCATCAACGCCCGCTGAGACGACCACAGCTCCCGCTGAGACAACCACAGTTCCCGCTGAGACGACCACAGCTCCCGCTGAGACAACCACAGTTCCCGCTGAGACGACCACAGCTCCCGCTGAGACAACCACAGTGCCCGCTGAGACGACCACAGCTCCCTCTGAGACCACCACAGCTCCCTCTGAGACCACCACAGCTCCCGCTGAGACTACCACAGCACCCGCTGAGACGACCACAGCCATTAGCGAGGACACAACCACAGATTCTTCCTGGGATCCCAACGCACCCGGGGAGACAACTTTGTCGCCAGGCTCTGATGGAAGCAACCCAACAATAACCACTAACGCCCCATTGGACCCCAATGCGCCCGAAGGATCTACGGTTAGCCCTGGAGAAGTCACTACCAATGCACCTGGACAAAGCGACCCCAACGCACCAGAAGGATCAACCGCTGCTCCTGGCGAAGTAGACCCCAACGCACCAGAAGGATCAACCGCTGCTCCTGGCGAAGTAGACCCCAACGCACCAGAAAGTTCCACTGCCGACCCTAACGCACCAGCTGGCTCAACATCTGCTCCTGGGTCCACTGACGCTCCTGGTGTTCCTGCCGATCCTAACGCGCCAACTGGCTCAACATCCGCTCCTGGCTCCACGGACGCTCCTGGTGCTCCTGCCGATCCTAACGCACCTGCTGGCTCAACAGCCGCTCCTGGTTCTCCTGCCGATCCTAACGCACCTGCTGGCTCAACATCCGCTCCTGGTGCTCCTGGTTCCTCGGCTGCTCCTGGTACTCCCGCCGATCCTAACGTACCAGCTGGCTCAACAGCCGCCCCTGGTACTCCTGCCGATCCTAACGCTCCCACTGACGCTCCTGGTGCCCCTGCCGATCCTAACGCGCCAACTGGCTCAACATCCGCTCCTGGTTCCACGAACGCTCCTGGTGCTCCTGCCGATCCTAACGCTCCCACTGACGCTCCTGGTGCCCCTGCCGATCCTAACGCACCTGCTGGCTCAACATCCGCTCCTGGTTCCACGGACGCTCCTGGTGCTCCTGCCGATCCTAACGCGCCAACTGGCTCAACATCCGCTCCTGGTTCCACGGATGCTCCTAATGCATCCTGCTGGCTCCCACTGACGCTCCTGGTGCCCCTGCTGATCCTAACGCACCTGCTGGCTCAACATCCGCTCCTAGTGCTCCTGGCTCGCTGCCCCTGGTACTCCTGCCGATCCTAACGCACCAGCTGGCTCAACAGCCCCTGGTACTCCTGCCGATCCTAACGCTCCCACTGACGCTCCTGGTGCCCCTGCGATCCTAACGCGCCAACTGGCTCAACATCCGCTCCTGGTTCCACGGACGCTCCTGGTGCTCCTGCCGATCCTAACGCTCCCACTGACGCTCCTGGTGCCCCTGCCGATCCTAACGCACCTGCTGGCTCAACATCCGCTCCTGGTTCCACGGACGCTCCTGGTGCTCCTGCCGATCCTAACGCACCTGCTGGCTCAACAGCCGCTCCTGGTTCTCCTGCCGATCCTAACGCACCAGCTGGCTCAACAGCCGCCCCTGGTACTCCTGCCGATCCTAACGCTCCCACTGACGCTCCTGGTGTTCCTGCCGATCCTAACGCGCCAACTGGCTCAACATCTGCTCCTGGTGCTCCTGGTTCCTCGGCTGCTCCTGGTACTCCCGCCGATCCTAACGCACCAGCTGGCTCAACAGCCGCCCTGGTACTCCGCCGATCCTAACGCACCAGCTGGCTCAACAGCCGCCCCTGGTGCCCCTGCCGATCCTAACGCACCTGCTGGCTCAACAGCTGCTCCTGGTTCTCCTGCTGATCCTAACGCACCAGCTGGCTCAACAGCCGCTCCTGGTGCCCCTGCCGATCCTAACGCACCTGCTGGCTCAACAGCCGCTCCTGGTACTCCTGCTGATCCTAACGCACCGGCTGGCTCAACAGCCGCCCCTGGTACTCCTGCCGATCCTAACGCGCCAACTGGCTCAACATCTGCTCCTGGTGCTCCTGGTTCCTCGGCTGCTCCTGGTACTCCCGCCGATCCTAACGCACCAGCTGGCTCAACAGCCGCCCCTGGTACTCCCGCCGATCCTAACACACCAGCTGGCTCAACAGCCGCCCCTGGTGCCCCTGCCGATCCTAACGCACCTGCTGGCTCAACAGCTGCTCTCTGGTTCTCCTGCTGATCCTAACGCACCAGCTGGCTCAACAGCCGCCCCTGGTGCCCCTGCTGATCCTAACGCACCATCCGGCTCAACAGCCGCTCCTGGTGCCCCTGCCGATCCTAACGCACCTGCTGGCTCAACAGCCGCTCCTGGTACTCCCGCGGATCCTAACGCACCATCTGGCTCAACAGCCGCTCCTGGTGCTCCTGGTGCTCCTGGTTCCTCGGCCGCTCCTGGTACTCCCGCCGATCCTAACGCACCAGCTGGCTCAACAGCCGCCCCTGGTGCCCCTGCCGATCCTAACGCACCTGCTGGCTCAACAGCCGCTCCTGGTACTCCCGCCGATCCTAACGCACCAGCTGGCTCAACAGCCGCTCCTGGTACCCCTGCCGATCCTAACGCACCAGCTGGCTCAACAGCCGCTCCTGGTGCTCCTGGTGCTCCTGGTTCCTCGGCCGCTCCTGGTACTCCCGCCGATCCTAACGCACCAGCTGGCTCAACAGCCGCCCCTGGTGCCCCTGCCGATCCTAACGCACCTGCTGGCTCAACAGCCGCTCCTGGTACTCCCGCCGATCCTAACGCACCTGCTGGCTCAACAGCCGCTCCTGGTACTCCTGCCGATCCTAACGCACCAGCTGGCTCAACAGCCGCTCCTGGTGCTCCTGGTGCTCCTGGTTCCTCGGCCGCTCCTGGTACTCCCGCCGATCCTAACGCACCAGCTGGCTCAACAGCCGCCCCTGGTGCCCCTGCCGATCCTAACGCACCTTCTGGCTCAACAGCCGCTCCTAGTACTCCCGCCGATCCTAACGCACCTGCTGGCTCAACAGCCGCTCCTGGTACTCCCGCCGATCCTAACGCACCAGCTGGCTCAACAGCCGCTCCTGGTATTCCTGCCGATCCTAACGCACCAGCTGGCTCAACAGCCGCTCCTGGTGCTCCTGGTGCTCCTGGTTCCTCGGCCGCTCCTGGTGCTCCTGCCGATCCTAACGCTCCAGCTGGCTCATGGCGTCCGCACCCACATTGGCCATGGCGACCAGTTCGACCCCATCGGCCAATTTCAGGCTGGCCAAACTGGCAAAATTGGGTGAGCGGCTGGCGCACAACTCGGAAGCCCGTCCTCAGTACCAAGGCACCCGCTTCCGGTCAGGATCCTGAGAATTCCCAGCCAGAGAAGCCCAGCAACAATGGCTCCGAAGCTGCCGAAAGTGCAGAGCTGCCTGTTCCTGTACCCCCATCAGGTGGAGCTTTATCCAGCGAGAACGCCTCTGTCGAACAGAGTGCCAAGGGATCTGGCGAGAAACAAAAGGACAAGCCTAAGTCTGTCGAAGACCAGTCCAAGGAGCAGGAACAGAAGAAGCCAAACTCCACTGAGAAGGACAGCTCCCGCGAGGAGAAGAAGGAAGAGGAGAAGGAGAAGTCGAAAGGTTCCAAAGAGGAAAAAGAGGAAAAGGAGGAAAAGAGCAGCGAGTCGAAGAAGTCCAACGATGACGAGAAGAATGACGAGGACAAGCTGAGCTCAAAGGAAAAGAAGAAGTACGTGAAGAAAATCATCAAGAAACTGAAGAACGAGGAAGACTGCGACGAGGATGACGTCTTCCCTGATGTTCGTGACTGCAAGAAGTACTTCCGCTGTGAAGTGAAAGGGTCGGGGAAGCACAAGTTCGTGCATCTGCGCTGCGACAAAAAGGAGCGATTCGACTGGCTAGCCCAGAGTTGCGTGTCCAAGGACGAAGCTCGTTGCCTGGAGAAGTAAGGGGATGTGATCCGCATCTCCCTCGACGGGGAATCACAACTGTATTATCCACATAATAATCTCAGCATCAATTGTATTGGCAATTTATTCTATCTATAACTTGTCTTCTTTTCTAATTTATTTTACTATCTAAAAAATAAATTTTCTTTCTGTCAATAAATCTGGAAATCTATGCAAATGTTTATTGTACACTTATCCCTAATTTTAGAGATCGATTTCTCTGTTTTTTGTGAGTTTTAGGTGGAAGTATTTAGGCGCCAAGTACTCGGTCGTCACTGGAATTAACCTTGCAAACGGAACGGTCTGCCCTTGTTGGGTTTTCGATTCTTTTTATACCCGGCACCCGAAGAGTTTAGTAATACAAGTATTAGTTTCGTGATTTGTATAACTTCAAGAATTCTTGATCAACATCAATAGCTGAGTCTATTTAGCCATGTCTGTCTGTTCGTCTTGATGAGACGAGCCTATCATACAACAAAGACAATAGTAAGATGCGTAACGCCCATACATTTTAATTGCCATATGCAAGCAATTTTTCTACAAGCGACGAAATTCGCACCATCTCGCGCGCACAAATTCGAGAGCGTACAAATCTACAAATAAAATGCGCTTGCGTGTGTGAGTACACACAGAACAATTTTCGAGACAAAAAGATTTTTTTGAAACTGTATATGCACGCATTCGGGCTTCAAAAAATATTTGAGTGCCAAAAAATCGTATGGCGTTACGCATCTTATTGTTATATTGTCTTTGATACAACATTGGGCGTATGAATCATCCTCCTCTAATCCACAAAATGGTATTAAGCACCGAATGTCGGACCAGTATCTTGGCAGTAACTACTTTTTTGCCGATGCCCTCCTTAAATACGGGATTGAGAAGTTCTGTCAAATTTACTGAATATTTCTGTTTTTTATCCACCTTAATCCTGCCCCTAATGCTAAGTGTTGGAACGCTCTCAAGTTATCCGCCCAGTGCTCTTTAAAACATCTCACTTACACTTGCCAAGTTTTTTCCTAGGTAAATATTTAGTGTACCCCGGAATTTTCAAGTAAAGTGCAAACACGGAAAAAAGCGCCGAGGGGAAAGTGCATTGGCTGGTATGCTGGGATGATGAGAAGATGGGGACAGCTCTACCGAGCAGAAGGACAGTTAGGTAGAAGGCTCTGTGAACACTCTCTGGACGGGGCACTCCGAGTGGGTGGATGGGGGGATGGGAGAGTGAAGCAGAGCAATACACTTAAGTTGATTCGCTGTCATCCATTGCAGCTCATTTATCATTAGACCAAGTCACACATACACACAGGACAGGCACCAGCCAACGGGACCGAGACGCAGACAAGGAGCAGAACTGGAAGGAGCACTAGGACCAGGCCTGGCGACAGTTTCAGTATCTTCTAAGTAGTCGGCAGAGCAAAGGCCATGGTCGCGTTAAGAGTAAGCATAACACTTTGCACTGACAATGCCCCTTCTTCCCAGGGAACAGGAATACGAAAGCGACGACGACGACAACGACGACGATGAAGTAATTCAATTTTTATCGTGGGTAATTTTGTAACGACAAACGAAGAAAGCGACTGCGGTAAATAGAGTGGGCTATAGAGGTCACAGAGGGAGACTCAAACTCGCCCTCGCTGACCGCGCAGACAAAAAAGAGATGGAAGATGGAAATGTGATGCTGCCACTGACATGGACCCAAAGCCTTAAAGCTGGATCACTACTGGACGGACCGAAACGAAACGCAGATCCAGAGATGGCGAGGGAAAGTGAGAGAGGAGAGAGAAGTCCAGGCGAGTGGTGTCGTGGTGGCACGGAGTGGTGCAACGCAATGTGCGACCATACGTTGAAAATTCAATTTGCCTGATGACTTGCTGTGGTTTAAATACGGCCAAAAAGCGACAGCGCGCATTAAACTCATTGCCGCCGTTGTGGCCAAATGGATAAAAGGCGAAACAAGCTGGGGTGCTCGGGTGCCATGGCTACCATGGACGTGGGTCCAGGTCCACACCCAACCCAACCATGGATAAGGTCCGCACCATCCATGTCCAGCCAGCTGCACATTATATACTTATGCATACGACGCAGCAGCATCCGCACCGAGGGAAAAGCAACAACTACTCGCACCAACAAAAAATAGCAGAACAGCAGAGTGGGACATAAGCGGAAAAAGCGTACACTTTGTTAACTACATTTGACAGGGTGCCGGGATGGGGGATGGCGGATGGGGGAACGGGAACAGAGAGTAGTGAGTAGAGGGTAGAGGGGCAGGATCCAGGCCACATGCTCTCGGTATAGTTCTCCATCCCATCGCGACGGAGATGGCCCCACTTGAAGCCTGGTCGTTGATTGGATTTCATGCGCTTGGAAAATCAATTTTTATTTAATTAATGTGCCTCGCTGCATGCATTACCTATAATCTGGAGTTTAAGCTATATGGGACTCCTCTTATCAGAAGATGTGGATAGATATGTGGTATCTGTGTAACTGAAGTCAAGAAGTGAGCCCGTCGAATGGCCCGTGTTCTTCAGTTTGTCCAGCCATTGCAGAGAACCAGTTAATTATTACCTTTTTGCCAATAAAAGCGTTTCTTGAGAGTATCAAAGATTCGCTTAGACATTGCCATCATTAAATACATTACTCCATGGATATATCCGATTAATTGAATTTGATCTGATCCCTCTTTATCTCAAACTGACTCCAGTTGATCCGCTTGGACCTTCGATAGCTATAGTTAGAACCATTCTACGGTCTGGCGGATTTCCTGCATTATACCTTTCAGATCTCTGCTAGGGTTCCGTTTATATTAAGCCAAGTTTAGTGTTCCTCCTGGAATTTACGAATCGACCGAAAAATGTCTGCCTGGAAAGGCCGAGGGGGTGGAATCCAAAGCCGGTAACATCAATCATTGATCCCATCTAAATGCCGTCAAATGGCATTTCCCGTTGCCTCCCACAAGCGTATACAATGACGCCGCGGGGAGTTGACGCCAAACGATGGTTGGTTCGATGCTTTGGTGTGTTCCACTGCCGTATGCAAGGTGCAGCAGAAATACGGGGCAACGGGGAAGGTGGAGGGCATCTGGTGCTCGTACTTGTATATTTAATATTCACATTTCAATTGTTTTTCATTGTTGTTTCCTTTTCTGTGTGTGATTCCTCCTACTCCTGTTTTGTTCGGGCCACCGTTCTGCTGGGTTCATTGCTCAATTTCACCCTCGGCTCACCCGGCTCGGCTACAACGTTCCCACTGAGTCCACTCTACCCCTCTCCATAAGCCGCCCTTCAGCTGGAGTCGAGCTGGAGTTGGAGTTGGAGTTCGAGTCCGGGAATCCCACAGTTCTCGCTCGCCCCAGTGACTTTTCCTTGTATTTGCTTTGACTTTTGAGCTTTCTTTTTCTGACGCCAGCGTTGGACCCAGCTACGGCTTCTGCTGCTCCCGCTGCTGCTTCCTTTTCTTCTGCTGTTGCTCGTGCCTTTTATTTATAAAATTTTCATAAAGTTTCGTGTTATTAAAAATGGAATATATTCTCGCGCGAATACGCAATGGAATATTAATAACATGAAAGAGCTTGAATTTTAATACAAATCTACGGTGCCTTGTACGGAAGTATACCATCATCACCACCACCAGGGCGATAGGGCTCGGCATCGGCCCCATCTTCATCCTTGCCCACAGACCCAATCGCAACCGGAAAGAGCGAAAGTCCCTCTGCGAATGGAGGGAAATCTGTGCATATCTGTGGGTCAGTACATTCGTAACATTCACAGCCACAGACCAACCACACACACCACACAAGCTCTCGATGGGTGTTTGCTCGATGCGCACGTGCCAGAATGTTGGCCGTGCTAAAGAAAATATCCCAGACGATGCGATGCGATGCCATGCAGGCCCCGTAATATATGACTTGGACACGGGGCCGGTTTGGTTGGGGGGGGGCTGGCCTAGTAAGCGGACGGACTCCTGCTCAGCGGATAGAATGCAAGTCAACCCGAAACGTTGCGAGGGAGCTGTCAGAAGCCCCCACTCTAGCTACGGTACAGGCACAGGCACTGGGTAATTGCCTTGAAAGGCCTCTGAAAGCCCTCAAACAAATTATAAATTGCCACCGACGAGGCCCGGCTCAAAGGGCCTTATAACATTTGATGGCGTAGCGGAACTCACTTGGGCTCACTCATTACCCCAACTGTTTCTGCCGCTCTGGGTGCTTCTGTTTCCGCCTGTATCCGACTGTCTCATCTGTAGCTGCTGATCCATCACCTGAAGTCGGTGTCGGAGTTGGAGCCGACGGGTTGTCGGAGCCAGGAGTCGCCCTACGAGTCGTGAGGTCGTGGGGAATTTTCTGATTGCGTGTGAATTTTTAATGCGTCCTGCCCTTTGGCCTTTCAACCACTACGCACTTCATTCATCAATGTGCCCTGGCCTAAATGATGATGCCGGTGTTCCTTGTTGCTCCTCTTCTGCCTTCTGCTAGCTGCTCCTGCCAAGAAAAATGATGATGTGCTTCCAGATTCGTTTCCAACGCCTGCCCTGTTGTTCCATTCGACGCTCAGCCGGGTCGGCTCACTGCAGAGTGCGCCCATAGCCAAACCAAACCAAACCCCCCAGCCACCACCTCCATCTTTCGCAGTGCTTACTTTGATTTTTATAAATTTTGTATGGCCACGCCTTTACCTTTACTGTCTCTACCTGCCGCCCCAGCTCCCTTGCTGATGCGGAGCAGCGTCGTTCACTAATGAAATATGAATAATTAAAACCGTATTTTCATTCTGTTTTACTTCATTTGGAGTTCATTATTTTTGGTTCACGGTACGTCTGCCCAGCCAGTCGTCGTCTTTGTCTGCGTTGCCATGGCTGCTATTTGATTTTTGGCACATCAGGGAGTCCAGTCCACCGAGTCCAGAGCGCACCCCTTCAAGTGCAATTGGGGGTGTCGTTGTCAACTTTGGGACTGCGCAGCAGTAGACTTGGCCGTGTTGGCACTCCGTTCCAGCATCTGTGGTATGGCCATGGAAAGGGAAACAATTTTGAGATCGCAAAGCTTTGATAATCTTATTCGATAAACTTCAGGGAACGGAAACCATTTGATTTGCTTTCTTGCCGTCATACAGCTCTCGAAATATGATTTTTCTTAGAAAAAGTAATAGTAATAGATTGCTATTAGCTGTCCACA